TCCCTTACAACCAGCCTACGATGGTCCATTTAAGGTGATTAAACGAGACGACAAAACTATCACGGTAGAAAAAGCTGGAAAAACGGATGTAATTAGCATCGACCGAGTCAAACCAGCTTTCATCGAAGCCTACGATCAGCCAGTACATACAGATACTGCGAAAACCGTTGAATCATCGAAGCGTCAGTTCCAATCATCAACGACATCGACAAACACAAGCAAAGAGAATCCAGTAACGACAAGGTCTGGCCGAAGAGTAAGATGGCCCCAACATTATGTCGCTACAATCTTCTATTAATAATTTTCTACTATTTAAAATATTAATTATAACTTCCACTTCATTGTACACACATGCATTACTAATTTCATGTTATACGCTATAAAACTCAACATATCTTATGTACCCCTACACTTACACGTATAATTTTTATTTAAAATGTAAAGCAATACCGCATTCCTTCTATTTATTGCTATTATTTTTTAAAACCTCACGGACGGGCGCAAACCAAATGTACAGCACACACTAACTTCATCTTAATTTTGTACAAACCATTTTTTTCAAACGACTGTAACTACCCTACTCAGTTTACTATTTTTTTTGTGCAAACACAGACATTTTTCCATATATCTTTGTTTGCAGGGGGGAGCTATTATAGTGACTCACGTGCAATTGAGTTTAGTTCAGTCAAGGTCTTTTGTTGACCTATTTAATGGACAAAATCATCCATGATATAACAACTTGTTGTATTATCTTTATTATTATGCTTGTATGAAATACATATGCTTGAACATTGTTTAGCGCCTACGCATGTATTCATTCTGCTAGCTTCATTATTAACTGCTTAATCTATTCGCTGACTCATCCATTTTCCTATACATATATATATGTGTACATTTGCACCCATTCACTACTACTACTACTACTACTACAACTACTTGCTACTGCTACAATCGTAGTTCGCTTGCTCATTCATTTTGCCTCTCTGCTGTCTGGTCCGAATTATCTACTAAATAAACTGTAGTAGCTGCTTCTATTTGCCTTCTGATTTCAAACATCGTTGAAGATTATACGATAACGGTTTGAGAGTGATTAAGTTACGAAGCACAGCCACTACAAACTCAGCCATTCAATTAGTATCATCTAATGTTAAAGATTTATGCTAAATATGAAAACACTGAATCCACTAGATAAATGGTTTATACCAATTTATCTATTCAACGAAACACAATAAATACGGGAGCTAAAAAAGACACTTGATTGAAGATTTTGATGCATCAATAAATTACATTTGTGAACTCTTCATAAAATTCAGTCATTAATATCAACAGCAACTAAATCAAATCCCTCATATTAATAATAAAGTAAGCAAATTATGTCGTGATTTCTCCATAATCACCTCCAATCTTTGCGTATCTACATCTGTAAGAACTCATTCAAATAACACCATCTCATTAGGATTGACGTACTGAGAGTGATTTGGTTATACATCTCAGTTGCGAATGTTCAACTTGAAATACACACAGTAATCCACACATGAGTGCTAACTGAACAGACCAGTTCAGTATGATCTTCAAGTTACTGAATATATTAATCGTGTTATTTATCAGTAGATTCAAAAGAATATCATCATCCGGTGAAGTTACGTATAGACGTAATCATAATTAACATGCTAACAAGAATACTACACTCTGTTTATACCACTTGACCTATACTTTAAGAATTCAAAGTCAATTTCCTAGATAGAAAGATCATCGGCTTCTCTATTGATCACATCAACATTATTGATTATTTATGGTTGTGAAGCATTTCAAGCTAACACATGTGGTGAGACTATAATTTATAGATGAACCAATGAGATTTAGGATAAGACGTGTTGTATTTTGACGCGAAGCTCATTCATCCATTTGGCGAAATGGAGTTCTTACATCTTGCTGGTATCTGTTCGTGATGAAAATCATCAATCTAATTCGTAAGTTGAACCATCAACTGTAAATCGAAATTCTAATACCTCACACTGGTTTATAGAACACATCTCTCACTAGTCAATAGTTGAACATTGGCAAGGTCACTTCAGCATCGCTCAATGTTCGTCCATAAATAAAATCTCATGACATAAACTTCTCTTTAATTTTCTGACTATGTTAACTGAAATGTTTTTGTCATACAATTAGATATGAAAGTTTTTTCTCAAAGCAATGATTCATCATGATAATTATTACTACTCTAACTTGTTTACAAAGTGAATATTTATGTGCTTGGCTCTGTTGCATGACTTTTGAGTGAGGTCTAGTGAGATCAGCCTGTTACTCAAAGTGAACTGGGTAAAATGTGATTTGAATTTGAGATCGAATGTTTGAAATCTAGATGTTGATCAGTAAGCAAACTGCTCTATAATATTTGTGAAACCGTAGGACATTTAAATATAGTCGACGAAATGCCCTGTTTGATGTAGGCTTTGTGTTAGTTCGTGCTTGTTAACTAGACGTACTTGGAATATTGCGACAACCGATGCTACCCATGACATTTGAAACCACATCACCGTGCCAACTGACGTGAAATCTAAGTTCAAAATTTTCTCTGATCATCTTCTGTTAATTAGCACACCAACACAGTGCACGAAATGTCTAGTGGTTTAGACTGTTGGCCAAATTGTAACGTGATATATAGAATTTAATCAGTACTATAAAATGACTAGACAAATGTGGTATTGACCACCATAGAATAGTTAACCAACTAAAATAATCAAAGTTGAGTATAACAACAGTAGTGATAAAATGTTTAGTTGATTTCAATCTTAGTTTTCCAATCAATGAAGTTGGACATACAAATGACAATGAAAAATTCTAATTTTATCTGTCAAAGTTGAATAAAATAAAAATATATGAGAAGGTTCATTCATAGTTACGTAAGTAGATGTTGTCAAATACACTGAATTTTTAATTAATGTTTGGCAAGACGTTTCATAACTAATGAGTCACTATGTTGTTTATTCTTATGCTTATCGACACTATATATAAATATCTATACACCATGAACTATACATGATTATATCAAAAATCTTGAACATCAAATGATCCTTAATTCACTTGGTATTGTTTGGCTTGTATCTTCCCATTGAGATTTTTAAGACTGCAATTGATCAGTCTGTTATTGGCATATGTGCATACTGTGCGCATGCCTCGATATTAGCTTAATTCACAAGCTATTTGTAAGCAATGATGGATAGTGGCTAGCAGTGGAATCCAGTTTGACGCGCGTTTCGTCCTACTTGGGATTCAGTATGAGAATGTTGATTAAACGATTGTAAATCTTGGGAAACTTGAAAGTCACATAAAATTAAAAAAAACAACTTAAGTTCCATTAAATTTTCATTTATTACTTCTTGACATAATGAATGTTTGTGTTGAAAAGCAAATGAAGGAAATAAGAACTACATAGTTGTTTCAATATTGATAATGGTCGGTAATACAGATTAGTTTTACTCATTCCTTTATTCTTCATTTAGGAATCATACATATAGCAATTAGAGACTTTATAAATTTATATAAAGGAACATGTTTCTTTTTATTATCACTGAATTGACATTCAAATCGGGATCTAAATTGAAGAACAACAGGAGAATATTCATGCGTTGGTCAAGTTTTTCTTCTAAATAGTGTGAACATCATTAGAGAATCACAAATTTCTTTAAGTACTGCAATGTATCACTTTCTTTTATTATAAATAACTCTATAGATCTGTAAGGATTAGGAAGCAGTTAACAGAGCAGGAGGAGATAATAAAATCACGTCGTCAGTACAAACGTGTGTAAGAATTGAACGTTAATTTATTTAGAACTTCTATAATGTTAAAATTGAGAATAATTAATGTTGACAGATATGAAACTTTATCACATTTATATATAACACGTTTGTATTATGCGACTAAAGTATACATAAGCTCGTTTAGTAATATTTGGTATAGATCATTTTACATTGAACTTCAAACATCTTATCTAGTAATCACTAGTCAACAGGTCAATAAATCTGTGAACTATTCAATAGGAGAGATGTATAAGTGACTTTGTATAGGTACATGGATTTGACTTGAGATAAAATACTTAATCACTCTCTACAACTGTCTATTACACCCTACAAGCGATCACTATAAATATTTATGACACAAATTACGATCATGATTTTTCTGATCACCATTTCTTTTTATGGGTTGAGATTGCTAACCTCGTGTCTAAGCCTTTCCCTTCACTTGAGATCTGAACGAAGAGTGACTGTAAAGTAGCTTCACGAATAGTAAAACTAGTATCATAATACTACTCAATTAAGTAACCGTAATATGCATATTCAGTTAGTTATTCATAAGAAATCAGAAAAACATTAGTTTATCAAAATAACACTTTATTTAATTCTATTTCAAAATGAAATAATAATGAACAGACTGTTTGGTATTTATATGAATGTAAATGTGATATATTAATAGTATAATGCCTTGGCATTAATTAATCATCACTGATTAATAAGAATCATTGTTTTCATATTGTTTTTGATAGATAATCAATAAGATCTGAGATTATGTTTTTTTTTTCAATTCTCTATTAAAATACTTTTAATGAAGAAGAAATCTCAGCCAATAAGTTTAATGTAAATCCAACATTTCCGCTGAACAATCTGATCTCAACATTTTCAAAGTAATACTCTTCACGTTGAAAATAAAATGGCCACTTTGATTAAAACATCTTGAAAGTGTATTATCATGTTGAAAAAAAGTAATAATTTTCCCTGTTATCATTATTTTTATTGTTTTATTTTTCATTCATAATTGATTGAACAAATGATTAGATATCATAGAAACATTTTTATATTGATCGTAATTATTTTTCGCTATTATTGTTTTATTTTGGTATTTCTCATAAATACATTTAGTTGCTAAGGGGAAACGTATTAATTTTTTCATCCTATTTTCTAATTGGTCAAATTTGAATTCGTTTTCTCCTCCCCCTCCTCCTCCTCCTCATCATCATCATCATCATTATCACTGTTCATTTGAATTTGTAATTTTCATAAAATGTTTTAATTGTTTCAATGTATTCTCTGATTCCATTTGATGTTGTATAAATGTAGTTAAAAAATTATATTCTATAATTGATTTTATATCTCTTTGTTTATTATCATGATGAATATTATGCAACCAATTGATTATCATAAATTGATTAAGATCAATACGTTGATGTATATCGATTTGTAATAACATATTAATGATTTGATATATTGATTTATCAATATTATATAATAATAATGAATGATTTAATTGTATAGAATTTGTTTTGATATCATTCATAAATGTATTCAATTCTTTATATTGATCAATAAATGGTAATTTCCCAGTCAATAATAAATACATAATAACACCAATAGACCATGTATCTAATTCCATTGATTTTTTCTTCCATAATTCTTTCATAATATAACATATATTGTCTTTTTCAGTTGAATGTATATCATCCATGGTTACTTTAACATGTATCATATATTCTGGTGACCAATATATAAATAATTTTGTATCATTATGATTACATAATATATTGATTTCTGTTAACCTGAGAAACTCGACGTTTTCATGGGATCAATAGTTCAATAATGATAAGTATGATAATAATGACATAAATCAAATAGGACCCAAAATAATTGATCAAATCACGTTTAATGTTTATTCCAATCATAAACAATAACACTGATAGAATAATGGCCAAAATCCAACTGATAAATATGAACATTCCTTCCATGTAGATTGAAAGACAGGTTATCACACCAGCGGAGCTGAAGCTCTTGAAAAAAAAATTGATAAAAGGAGGATTGTTCAAAAGTCATATATTTATCATAGAACTATATATATGAATGTACGGCTTGAGAAAATGATTTTGTCGAAGAGAAAATTTTCTGCTCTGAATTCTCTCTTTCTTATTCAATGGCACAATAGATTATTTTATTAACTTTTATATCAGCGAAACCACCTATTAAATCTTATTTTTATTTAACAGAACATTTGTGCCAAATTACTTTAAAAGGAGAGAAATACCTTCATGTGATAATTAATTAGATGGTAGAACATGCTGCAAATGGTTAGATATTGAGTGATTGCAGATAAACACTCTTCTTGACTTATGTAAACAGAGAATAGTCACGTGTCCTCCTCGTCAGTCATCGTCTTGAGAGTGAATCAGTGAACAGATAACACATAAATCACATACGATGTTTGATGAATTGGTCATCAAAGACAATACATGTTTGTCCATATCTAGCAACATCAATAACTCATTTTGCACATTCACAGAATAGTCCCATTTGCATAACGACTAACATAATGATATGATATCGTATTGAGATACAGCAGTATTAAATCACGTTTATATTCCTATTGGCAAACGTTTTACACACATTCGTCCATTGCTAACAAAAACAACTTACGAGTAGTACGTAAAGGAAATCCGTGAGGTAATTCAAATGTGTAAATCTCTGAATAAAGAAAATTGCAATGGTTGCACCAATCGAAATGAAACTGTAATGTAAATTATAGTGTCAAAATCAATTCAATAAGATAACTAGATGCAATTTGGAAAATGTAGTTGAAAAATATCACAATAAATGATGTGGTGTAAATCGTATATATACTGATGAAATGTACATGTAGTTGAATAGCCCAATCATGCACTGTCAACCAATTATATATCAAAGGATAGACTATTATGTTTAACTATATTTTCCTCCATATTTTTTCGTGAACCCATCTGCAAACGCATGAAAAATGAATGAAACTGAAATGTCTTCGATGTAATTCATAATAGATTTGTGATCTTCGCGATATTTTCTTATCCTGTTTTATATAAACGAAAGAATAATTATAAATTTGTCATTTAACTCAAGAGAGAAGAAGCCACATATAAGTGACTCCAAAATATATTAGAATGCATAGTTTATGCGAAATCTCTCAACTTGTTTATCTACCGAATAAAGTTCACTTCACTAACTGTATCCCAAACAGTCACATATTTGAATAAAGAAAGATGATTGGATAACTCCTTTGAGTAGCATTTCATACATGTTCAATCCTGTCTTACTATACTGAAGAAAGACAGTGACAGATAGTACTACTGTTATTCCACTGAAGTGATTTTCATGCAACTCACCATCTACCACTCGAAATCCTTATATAATCTTAAAGCGCATTAATCCGCTTACTTATTGTTATAACGTGAAAATGATGCTGCTGATTAAGGGTAGCGAATTATTGATCGGACCAAAGACGCAGAAACACGTAGAACAGCCTAGGGTTCTGATTAGTCTCGCTCCCCTATCTAACCCAGCCAGTTGAGTCCAGAACACAAGTCACAGCCTCGGAGATATGAATCATTATATTTCAAACATACTTTGTTTATATACCAGTCAAACAGACCACATCGTACGATGAAATAGGAAATAACATTGTACAATAATGGCCAGTAGGAAAATGACACGTTAAATAAATATTGACCAATAAGATGATACCATTTCATGTCCAAGGATAGCATTAGCCTTAACAGGATAATTTTTGGGATATTTTCCTGAATATCCCAACACATATACAGTTAGATTTCACTGTTTGCAAATTTTAAACAGTTTCTTGTTTGCAGGTTGTCTATTGCCGGTTTGTTCTAGAAGTAATTACCAACCGTTTCATATGAACGAGTCTCATATCCAATGCATAGCGATTTACTGAAAACGCATTGCCTCCCAGATAATCTAATTTTTCTAAACACGTCTTATAATCAAGCATGACACGTAATTTGAATACACTTGTCAGTAAATCTCTTCACGGGATCTACCAGAAAAAGTGTTAAGCAATACTTGCATGTTCTTGACCATAGCCCGATGAAGTTACGTATAGGCGTAATCAATAATTATCACGATAACAAGAATACTACACTCTGTTTATGCCACTTGACCTATACTTTAAGAATTCAAAGTCAAGTTCCTAGATAGAAAGATCATCGGCTTCTCTATTGATCACATCAACATTATTGATTATTTATGGTTGTGAAGCATTTCAAGCTAACACATGTGGTGAGACTATAATTTATAGATGAACCAATGAGATTTAGGATAAGACGTGTTGTATTTTGACACGAAGCTCATTCATCCATTTGGCGAAATGGAGTTCTTACATCTTGCTGGTATCTGTTCGTGATGAAAGTCCTCAATCTAATTCCTAATTTGAACCATCAACTGTAAATCATAGTTTTAATTCGTCACACTGTTTTATAAATCACATCTCTCACTATTCAGTAAGTGAACATTCGTAAGTTCAATTTATCATCGCTCAAACGAAGTCCATGAATTATAGACTCACCACATAAACTTCACTTAAATTTCCTGGTTGTGTTAACTAGAATATTATGTATACAATTTAAAGAGCTCCTGTTTTAATACACTCAAATACAGTTGATCAATTATGGATTACATTCTCGTCATAGCAATTTCAAACATTACAATTCGTAGAGTTCCGAAATTAACCATTAGGTAAATAAATTTGTATTATGCACCTGGATTTTGCGATTGTTTCACAAGACGTGTAACTTTGTTATCAGACCTCAATAAAATTACTGTGAATTAACAAAGAGATATCCACATGGATCTACATCTATCACACCACGAACAACAATGATACATCCACCCATATACATATAAGAAACTATTATCAATCCTTGTTTATGTGTTTACGAGTAACTCAATTTTCTGTTCAAACATACTGTAAACTTCAATTTACAATTTCTCTACTTCATATTCAACAAACCAGATCAATCACGATAAAGTAGAATTTTGTCCAAATGGATGACTTTGTTAACTTTCTTCTCAATACAACTAACGTTCAGATTGATGGAATGAACGAACACCATGTAACAGTAAAGACACTGGCAATTCATAGTATATTCGATTTCTTTCAAACAATTTAATAACATAATCAACAGCATACTACTATATTACATCCACACTCCCAATCACTATCTACACAAAATCAATGGTATAATACAAACTACAAATCGGATGATTTACACAAAATCCCTCTCCCACTTGATGACAACACAAACTCACAATGATTAGTTTACTTAAAACTCAATATTTCAAATCCGATTCTGCTTAATCACGTACAATAAATAGAAATGAAGACAAGTGAACAAACACAGAAATTCTCATATTCATCATTCTTGTTCTACTGCATAATCAAAAGTACACAATGACAAGAGGAAACATCATATTGAAACACAAACTGAATCACACAAACTGTCAATATCTAGGATAATTTAATGTTGAGAAACAGTAAAATAAATCCAGAATATGAGAAAGTCAGTAAGAACAAATGAACCATTGATGCAAATATGAAATCTTCAGGTCTGTAGTATATTGCTCTTCCTCCACAAAATATTTGAGCTTCAATTAAACTAGCCTAAAATCACAATAACAATGTACAAATTGAAATTCACAACATTCAATGCTGATTAGTTGTTTATCTAATATCCAATGATTCTGAATTATAATTCACTAACTGACTGACTTATTTGCAAGTGAAATAATATCATGACATAATTTGATGAGTGTTAAAGTGATGATGTAATCACTATCTGAATATCTCTTCCTACACTTCCTACAGTAGTATTTGTCAATTCGCCTCATTTACAACAGATTTGTTGAAGAAGTGCAATATTAGTTAGTATGTTACTTAACCATAAACGGAAATAGCAGGTTTCGAAATTCCTGACTCTACCTAACGAATACACAACAGTCAATGATTAATTCCACTATCTGAACATCTACATCTACAAACGTTTGTTGAAATTTCCTAAGGGAATAATTATGGCACATTGTTCATTGAAACGGATTCACAGTGTATATTGACACATAGTACATTGTTGTGTGAAAAGCTCACTGAAGTGATATGGTTTAATCTTCTTTTATTCGATGCATGGATTTCTATTAAAGGAGGAAGGTGAATAGACAGTAATCTCATTTCATTCAAACTACTATTCACTCACCGGAATTACGATGGCTAAAACGAGGAGACCGATTGCATACGTCACCTGAAATGCAAAGTTAAATTATTTACTAGTGGGAAAATCATCTATTCATCTGTCTGTTTCTTTCAAGCCACCACTCAATCACATGTGACATTAAGTTAATTTTTGTGACACTTAATCCAACCAATCTCGTACACATTATATTACTGCGAGAGATGAGAACAAAATTGAAAACATGAGTGATCACAAATGAAAAATCTGAATGAAAATTAAACTGAGCGCAGTGCTATATGGTAACCAGTGTGAACGCGAGAGTCAACAAAACTGTTTTTATATTTGAATTAGTTTCAACTTTCTTTTTACCGGAATAAATAATGAATCTGTCTTTGATGACCCTTTATTCCAACATTGATGTCATATAGACATGAACTAACAATGTTGAATATGGTGTTCTCTTTGAAGACTGCTAGAATTTAGTTCATAATCGTTAATAATTATCAACGGTGAATAAAGATCTGAACTCCTGTACTCTCTTTAATACAAATTTACCAGATATCAAATAAATAAGTAGTTTCTATATGAACCACTATTATTTTAACCCTGATGGATGAAACGTATTTGTTCATTGAAATTAACCAGTGAATAAAATGTTGCATAGTTGATTCACATGTTGACTTTGACAATCGCCCACACACAATGAATTTAGTAATCAAATTATCAATATTATTCTGTTACTCTTTTTCAAAGAAGCGTGTTTTCCACGCAGAAACGTATCTATGAATAAATAATATTGAAATGAATGTTCGTATCTACAATCTTGAATTCAACAATCTCATTTTCACATTTATTCTGATTAAACACTACAATTCAAAATATTATCTAAACATAACTGATACATAAGAAATGCTGGGCACTGTATCATATGCAAATGAATGGCAATCAACTTCAGTAATTGATCAAAC